CCTAACACCATCACCACCATCAAAAGCTTTTCGAATATCTTTCCAAGAATAATTTTCTTATCCTCGATATTAAACGTTTCTAATCGATCGATCGATTCGATCCGATCCGATTCGATTCATTGCAAAGATAAGGGAGGGAAAAATGAAAAGAAGAAAAAGTTTTCCCACGATAACGATAAAATTCCTGATCGAAATGGAACATCTCTGTGAAGTGTATTTAAGTGTAAGAAATTAATTCGACATCATTTCTTTAATACAAATAAATTTAATATTTATTATTTGTGTTAAATGATCGGTAAAATAGTAAAGAAAATTAGAAAAATTTTACGCTTCAATTATCTGTGATCTTTCGAATCAACATGGATTATTATTTATTTAGGTTAATAAATATTTTATGTTATGAGATATAGAATGAAATTTTGCACGTACAATAAATTTTTGTTGGAACTAGACTTCAGTGTTAATTATTAAAAAAAAATTATAATTATAATAATAATTATAAAATATATTTATTAATTATAAAATATAGAAATTAAATTATTATTAATTATATAATTAGTATTAATTATATATAATATAAATTATATATAAATATATAATATTATATATTATTAATTAAATATATAATTTATATATTATATTATAATTTTATATATAAAATAAAATTATATATAATATATATAATTTTATAATATAAAAAAATATATAATTTATATATTATTAATTTATAATTTAATAATTTAATTAATTATATAAATTATATATAAATATATAATTAATTATATGTAATTAAAACTAGTTATAGAAAAAAAATACTATCAAACGCATACAGAGAACTAAAAACATTTTTTTTCCTGATTCTTATCAACATTTATAACTAAACGAATGAATTTTACGTGCAAAGATGAGATGGGTGATTGTATAAGATGCTTTCGGCGTAGGTGGTTGTGCCTAAGGCAAAAGAAAAAGAAAAAGAAAAAAATATGTGAAGAAAATAAAAGAAAAGGAAAAGAAAGATAGGAAAGGAAGAAGGGAAATAGTTGGGAGAAAGGTGAGTGTAAAAAAAAAGGAAGCCAAGAATGCCAGACGACGGACTTTAGAAGCAAGCAAAAGAATTTTCTCTCTCTTTCTATCTTTCTTTTTCTCTATCCTTATTTTCTTTTCCCTTATTTTCCCTTTTCATCGTTTAGAAGTTCTTCGCGAATCCCGAATATTCCACCTACTCATCCTTTTTCGTTCTTCCTTCGAAACTCGAATCTCGGGGCCTCGCGTGATACGCAAGAAGAAAGCTGGCTGGACTACTACTAACCGAAAGGTAAAAGATAGAAGAAAACTTTTTCCAGCCTTTTAAAAGATAGACAGAGAGAAAGAAAGAGAGAGAGAGAGAGAGAGAGAGAAAGAATTTCGAAAGGAGATCTGTTGCTAAACTCTCCGAATTGTCCTAGAAAAATTCTTGGCAAACGGCGAAATGTTCGTTCGTCGAGCATCGACGAATCTTCGCGAACTATGGAAAGGGATTACCACGTATATATATGTGTGTTGTCTGTGTCTCTAGATGTGTATGTGTGTGTGCGTATGTTTATTCGAGAATAGGTATATGCATGTATTATATATTCCTGTATGTGTTTTAGCTTTGTATAAAACTTCGGTAAAATTGTCTTCCAGTTTTCCTACGAGATCTTCAAAGTCCACCGAAGGGAAATATTCGAGCTAAGGAAAAAAAGTAAAATAAGTAAAATAAAAAGAAGAAGAAGACGAAGAAAATGAAGAAGATGAAGAAGAAGAAGAAGAGAAAAAGAGAATTTTCGATCGGACATTTTCTCTTATTCGAGCTAAACAAGACGACGTTTCTTCGATTTTTCTCGCAATACCTTCCATCTTACTACCATCCACGTTTCTTTGTAAAGAGAAACTGTTTGAAGAATAAACTTTGTCAGATAATAAGGATCTGTACCGATATATATATACAAAATATATAAATAATAAATATACTATATATATAAATATAATAACATATACAATATATATAAATATAATACACATAATATTTTAAATTTAATATTAATGTATTAATATAGTATATTAATAAATTATATATATAGAAATTAAATATATATATATATAGAAATCGAATAATATTATATATATTATAAATATAAAAATAAAAATAAAAAGAAATAAATAAAAATAAATAAAATAAATAAGATAAAAATAATAAAATAAAAAAAAATAAAAAATATAAATATTAAATATATATAAAATCATCCTTTGGAAGAAAATAACGAATAACAAAATCTCATGGGATGAGTAAAAGAAAAGGGGAAGGAAGGAGGAAAGGATTTTCTCTTATCGAGATTAAACCAAAACTTGGAAACGGGGAATGGGAGGAGAAAGGGGATGAAAAGGAAAAGAAAGAAGAAGATAGAAGAAACTGGACGAACGAAGACCATAAAACTGGTTCAACAAATAACAAAGAGACTTGAATATAAGAGAGAAAAATAAGAATAAAGAGAAAAATATAAAAATCGTTGCTATAGGATGTATCTTATAAAGGTGCTTCTTCTCTCAATATGTACTCACCTGTACATACATACATACATACATATATATATAGAAGGATAAAGAAAAATAAAAGAAAATAAAACTATACGCAGTTTTCATGGTAGATTCTTGAATCGCGTATAGAAGTGAGGAAAAGAGTGTAACTCTGGGATGTTGGATAAGGGAGGAGGAAGAGGAAGAGGAGGAAGAGGAGGAGAAAGAGAAGGTGGAGGAAATGCGGAAAGGATGTGAAAGTCGAAAGCTTCGTAGTGAATAAGAAAGAAAGAAAGAAAGTAAGAAAGTAAGAAAGACAGACAGATAGACAGACAACAAGCTAAGAAAAAGAAGAAGAAAAAGAAAAAAGAAAAAAGAAAAAAAAGAAAAAAGAATAAGAGAAAAGCTGAGAGAAATAAAAAGAAATTGTCATCGCAAGGATGGGGTTGGATGCAACCATCCTTGTAACCATACCAAAAGCGAGATCGGCCAAGTTTGCCCCGGCTTCTTTAACTCCTTTTCTCTATCCAACATTCTCGAGACCCTCTTTACAGCCACTGTCATTTGTTTTTACGTTTACTCCTCGTTCTCGTAGTCCTCGTCCTCTTCTTCGTCCTCGTCGTTCCTTATAAAATCCGACGGGTTTTCTACCTATATATACACACCTTTTCCCCAACAATCCCATACCTTTCTAGACATTCATATATACCGACAACAACCGCGAAACTTCCTTCTTCTCTACTCGTAGACTCCAATGTAAGATTTTCAACAGACAACAAAATAAAAAAAAGTAAGAGATAAAATAAGGGTGTTTTTCCAACGTGATAGAAAGAGAAAGGGAAAGTGAAAAGTGGAAAGAATGGCTTGGATGCTTCTACCTCGTTTAAAGCGAGTTCAAATGCCATGACAATCTTCG